AAAAAAAAAAGTTGGCTCTAATCTCCATCATGTGGGATTAAGTCCCAACTTCCTTAATAATACTCCTTTGGCACAAGAATTAAAATCAAGAATCAATAAATGAGATAAACTCAAACTAAAAAGTTTCTTCTCATCAAAAGAAATAATCTATGAAGTTAATAGAGAACCTATATCTTGGGAGCAAATATTTACCCCTCACAGATCAGATAGAGCACTAATCTCTAGGATATATAAAGAACTCAAAAAGCTAAACACCAGAAAAGCAAATAACTCAATCAATAAATGGGCCAAGGACTTGAACAGACACTTCTCAGAAGATGATATATAACCAATCAACAAATATATGAAAAGTGTTCATCATCGCTAGCAATTAGAGAAATGCAAATCAAAACTCTCTGACATTTCATCTCACTCCAGTCAGAATGGCAGCTATTATACATACAAACAACATGTGTTGGCAAGGATGTGGGGGAAAAGGCACACTCATACATTGCTAGTGGGACTGCCCATTGGTGCAACCAATATGGAAAGCAGTATGGAGATTTCTTGGAAAATTGGGAATGGAACTACCTTTTTACGCAACTATCCCTCTCTTCAGTCTATACCCAAAGGACATAAAAAAAGCATACTACAGGGACACAGCCACATCAATGTTTATAGCAGCAGAATTCACAATAGCTAAACTGTGGAACCAAACTAGATGCCCTTCAGTAGATGTATGGAAAAAAAGTGGCATATATACACAATGGAATATTACTCAGCAATAAAAGAGAATAAAATCATGGCATTTTCAGGTAAATGGATGAAGTTGGAGAAGATAATGCTTAGTGAAGTTAGCCAATCTCAAATAAATGCCAAATGTTTTCTCTGATATAAGGAGGCTCATTCATAGTGGGGTAGTGAGGGTGAGCATGGGAGGAATAGAGGAATTCTTGATAGGGCAGAGGAGTTGTGGGAAAGGGAGGGGGCATGGGGTTAGAAATGATGGTGGAATGTGATGGACATTATTATCCAAAGTACATGTATGAAGACATGAATTGGTGTGACTATACTTTGTATACAACCAGGGATATGAAAAATTGTGCTCTGTATATGTAATAAGAATTATAATACATTCCACTGTCATATATAAATAAAAATTAATTAAAAATGAATACAAGTAATAATAAAAGCTGGCAAGGATGTGGGGGAAGAAGGTGTATTTATACATTTTAGTAGAACTGCAAATAAGTACAAGCACTATGGAAAGCAGWATAGAGATTCCTCAAATGACTGGAATGGACCTATTATATGATCCAGCTGTCTCACTCCTTTGTATTTATCCAAAAGAACTCAAATAAACATACATTATACTTCTATATCAAATTTATATTTGAATCATTACAAAAAGTCATATGATAGAAATATCATTATTTCTATTTTACAGAATAAAATGAGGTTTGAAGATATGACGTCTGATGCTTCCCAATTAAATATGATATTCTCATTCATGATAGAAATCTGTGTCTCTTGGTACTAAAACTTGTTTTTATTTCACATAAATATAATACAGTAATTATCATCTGGTTTGAAAAAAATAATGAATTACTTAGTCTTCAAGACATTTTTATTCAATATCATAATCTCTGCTTTTGCCAATGAATGTTATAACTTAAATAATATGTCAGATGCTTGCTCTATGCAAATATAAGAGCAGCAAAGAATATATGTGTGTGTGAAAGGGTGAAATGAGAACTAATTCCATGCAATATGCTTAGAGATGATTACTTTAAACATTTTTTTATGATTATAAAATTATATTTAAAATTAAATACAGAAGTACATAAAAAGAGCATAATTTCCTCCATCCTACAATTTGAAGACAATAATTTTTATTGCTAACTAGCTTTTACTTTCAAGACAATGTATCCATATATAAATTTTGTTTTTTGTAAAGACTGTACCAATATCAAACTCTATGTCTGATCCTTGTTTGTGTGTGTAATTTATAAGTTCTGTTCCCTGCTTTTTCAAAGAATCTGTTGTGAACAATTTTTCACGGCTAAAGTATAAAACTGGTATTTTCATTTTATACTGTTATATTAATTTCTCTGCTAATTTATATTTTTCCGTAAATTATTTGATCACTTTTTATTGTTTATATTGGTAGTTGTCATAGTCATCATCAACAGCCTCACAATGAGTTTGTACATATATCTAAAAGAATTTCATCACTTCTTTGGATGGGAAGTTTAATTCTAAAATGAATTTCCTATCTTAATTGGGCATGTTTAAAGTCCTTTTAAGTTGCAATACAGTATTTTTTATGAATAACTTTACTCATGTATATTACTACAAGAGTTGGAAAGAATTATAGTTCCTTCACTTTTGTTGTTATACTATATATATTACTTTTACCTTTTTTCTTTATGATTATTCTGTTCAAATTCTCTGCCCATTTTCTATTAATTTTATTTAATTTTTTCATTAATATGTTTTTGCGGTATGTTAAGAACTTAATCTTTTTTATCTATTATATATATTGCAAAGTTTTCTTATTTCATTTTCTTTGTTTTTTTTTCAACAATGTTTTCCACCATACACAAATTATACATTTTTAATAACCACCTTTAGGAAGACCTTTTTTCAGCCCCAGAATATAGATATGCTAATGTTTATCTTCTATTGTTTTTTCATTTTTTATGTTACATTTGTCTCTCTCATGAATTTTATGTGCATATTTTTCTCCTGTTGACCTTTTGAGGGAGACTGTTTTCTCTATAAGATATAAATATTATAGTGGGGTTTTCATTTCTTTATTTTTTAACTACAAGAGTAATTTCTCTATCTTAAAACTTCAAGAAATAATTAGCTGAATATCCTTCATCACCATCCCATTTCTTAGTGTTCCGTGTTATCTTGCTCTGAGCTGTGTTTTGTGTTGGAGCTCCTCTAGGTGGAGGGAGCACTCAGCCCTACTCTGGAAATTGATGTGATTATCTTAGGCCACAGCCTAACTTTAATCTTAGCTGAGTTTTAAAGGCAAGAGCTCCAGCAACCCTCCACTCACAGGCAGTCCTCTGTTGCTCCTTGTGTTTTGAGGCTATTGAACAAGCAAAGGCTAACAAAACCCAGCCATGATGTTTTACAGAAGGTAGCAGTGACCACAGATATAGCTGTCCCTCACCCACCCCATTTTACTGAGGTATGATGGATAAAAAAAAAAAAATATGTGCCTTAAATATAAGCTTTAAGATGTGATTTATACAATAAAAATGTACACTTTAAAGACAAGCTGTACAATATGATGTTTTTATATATAAATATATATATTTTTATATATAGTGAAATGATCACCACAGTCAACATGTTCATCACCTCACATGTGTTATTTTTATAAACTTGTACTTTTATAATCTTTCTCTAAAGTAGTTATTCTTTTAGATTCTGAAACACTTTTGATTCCTGTGTTTTATGTAATATGTAAGATTTTCTTCAGGCAAGTATTTCATAAATATTTAATTGGGAAATTGATATGATATTATGTTACTTACTAAGATCTCCTCTCCATTTACTATTTTGTAGAATTGTATGGTGTATCAAGAACCCTCCTACATATTACAGAAAGTAATGGATTGATATCAGCACTTTTATAATATAAATAACGTAGAACTAAAAGAAATTAAATGACATTCTCAAATCACACAGTAAATGGTAGAGAAAGTGGACACCCAATATTAATTGCCAACTTCATTCTCTAATAGAAAGGAACACATTTCATAATCTATTGCCTTATTTTTAGGAGGTTTTGTAACTATGTAAGAAAATGTATTACAAAAATTATAAGGATAATTTGAATTACTTAAAATGCAGTGTGAGAAACTTTCAATTAAATAATATTTCAGTTGTTAAGAAAAATATGTTAATTTTATTCTTCAAAAGTTAGAAAAGGAGAACTATAACTTGTTGAAATGAACATAGAGTCTTGATTCCTACCCAGAAATTTATGGGGAGGTGAAAGCAGTTAACTGCAGTTTTAACAATTCTCCAATGGATTCCTGTGCTTGCTAAAAAAATATAGACTGATAATGGCAATATAAAATAAAGAGTTACTGTTGAATTTTACTTCAAAGATAGATAAATCAAAAAAGTTCCACTTTTTCTCATTTTAAAGCATAAGTTAGAAAAATTAATTTTTTCTTAGATATGGTAATTAATTAAATGCAATGGAATTTTCTCCCTAATTGGATATACTTATAATAAGCAACAATTTATAAGTGGATTTAGTCTGCTTTAAACTATCTCATGTTTTTTTCACAGCAAAATTATTTTTGCTTACAAAATTTTTTTGAAATGTTGGGAGGTTTTGCTAAAATATAAATTTTATTGTGGCACTACTCTTGAAATCTTACTTTATATGATTTTTTTTTCTTCAACAGCTTCCATGAAAGTAAGATCTCTAAGTTTTTAGCATCCTACTTAATTATATTTTATCAATGCTTATAACTAAAAAGGAAACAATAAACTTCAGTATAGTTTTTTATGTAAATAGACAGTACAAACTTGAATACATTTTCAAGCTAACAAAATTTGCCAATTATGTAAAAGAATGATAAATAAATAAGCCACTTTGAAAATCATTATTAAAATCAATTAAGAATTTTAATGCACAAAAGAACAACAAAGTACACGTATAAAGGCATAAATTGGCGTGAACATACTTTATATACAGAGATATGAAAAATTGTGCCCTATATGTGTAATAAGAATTGTAATGCTTTCCAAAAAAAATCACATATCAAAAATTTTGTCTTAAAAAAGTATATATTGCTAATTGCAATTCAGACTAATTAAAATATAAATATAATTTTACCAAGAAATTAAAGTAGGTGAGGAGTCATTGACAATATTTTTATTAGCAAATATAACATAAATAACATTAAGCCTAAAGGTTTTTTTAATGTATCTGTTTCCATATCCTGAGTCTGATAAGTAATTGATCTTGCATTTTTCCTTGACAGGCATATGCAGGCAAAGACCTGGAGGAACAGTTGCGGTCCGTGTCGAGTGTAGATGAGCTCATGACTGTTCTCTACCCAGAATACTGGAAAATGTACAAGTGTCAGTTAAGAAAAGGAGGCTGGCAACACAGTAAAGAACAGCCCAACCTCAACACAAGGACAGAAGAGACACAAAAATTTGCTGCAGCACATTATAATGCAGAGATCCTGAAAAGTAAGTGTGAGAAAGAAAATATTTACTGAGCCTCATATATCAAATTGTTTAAGGCTGCCAGCATGGCCCTTTAATTTCAGCATTTATACCTTATGGCATGAGTGTCAAGAAAATAGAAAATTAAAAATACTTTAAATATACAACATTATTTAATTTCACTTGGAGTGTTGAATTTTCTTGAAATTCAAAGCTAGAAAGGCACAGGTGTATCAACACATTTTTTTAAATTGGGGTAATATCCCATTGTCAAATTATAAAAACTGCTGGATGTGGTGTAGTCCCAGTAGCTTGGGAGGCTGAGGCAGGAGGATTGTGAGTTCAGAGCCAGTTTCTGCAACAGTGAGGTATTAAGCAACTCAGTGAGACCCTGTCTCTAATTAAAATACAAAATAGGGCTGGGCCTGCAGCTCAGTGCCAAGTGCCCCTGAGTTCAATCCCTGGTACCAAAAAATAAAATATAAAATTTAGAACATTTAGATACAGTTTACACACTAGGCAAGTTTAATCATTTAAAGTATATTATATCTTACAAAATAACTCTACCTAAGTTTTCTTTCTTATTTGAACTTAGAAATGCTTAATTTCTCTAAAAACAAACCCAGATCACCTTTTCAAATGCTACTTGTTGTCTCCTACTTTGTAGATAGATGGCTGGGTCAGAGCTGGATTTTGTGAAGCTGATGGGATATCTAGCATACATCTCACAAAACACTGCAATATTGCATAAAAGAGCATGTTATCAATTGATGAGCTAATTTTTAAAAATAGCTCCCTTTAGTTGTTAGACATTACTTGAAAGGTTTGATATTACAAAGTATTTTGAGAGCAAAAACAAACAAAAATGACTTCATGGTTGAATAACCTATAGTCTATGTCTTTTTATAGTTTTTTTTTCCCAAAATTTTATTTTAGGGAAAATATGGGAGAAATAAACTAGATCACTTAGGAAATACATCATTTGTAGTACAGTAAAAGAGTCAATAGTGTTATAGGAAGCCACTAAAAAAAAAAAATGGTAAAAATTCCAAGAAAAAGCACGAAAGGAATAGGAAATTTGATTTTCCTGGAAAAAAAATAAAGTTAGTTTAGATACAAAGACTGATGGGTGGAAATTAACCTTGCATTTCACRTAGCTATTGCCATGATTTTACCCCAAATTGTCAAGTAGCCTGCCTGAAAATGATTTTTGAGTTGAATCCAAAACCATAGACAACTTCTCATTTACATTTCCTTTTAAAAAGAAAATAAAATCATATCATTTACATCTGCTTTAAGACCACAAAAGCAGTATATAACAGCTAATGAACATGTCTCTGTTTCTGTAATCATATAAGCATCCATATATTAAATTCCCATTCTCTTAAATAAGAAAAATCAAACATAATTGCTGTGGAATAGTGATTTAATGTTTTTTAAAAAGTGCAGTCCTAACTTTGCATGTTACATGGCTTTAGAAATGAGTTTTTTTTTTAGGAAAATATCCTTAGCTGGTATGAGCTAGATCATATTCCTATTTACAGTGCAATTTAGGATCATGGCAGCTATTTCCCTAAATTTATATATTGTACTTAAAGCATAAAATCTGAAATCAAATGTGAGTAGCTTCCAACTGCTGTGGGCTTTTTCCCCCTTGGTGGCTTCTGTGTAACTTACAGACTTCCCTGTGACTCGACAGGTATTGATAATGAGTGGAGAAAGACTCAATGCATGCCACGTGAGGTGTGTATAGATGTGGGGAAGGAGTTTGGAGCAGCAACAAACACCTTCTTTAAACCTCCATGTGTGTCCGTCTACAGATGTGGGGGCTGCTGCAACAGTGAGGGGCTACAGTGCATGAACACCAGCACAGGCTACCTCAGCAAGACGGTAGGTATTTCCTATTTCAGCTCTGAGAGCYCTCTCAGGAAGAGCCTTTGACTCTGGGAATGTGGGACTAAAACTTCTGGTCCCACTGAAGTAGTTTTGTTCAAGTTAGAGTTTTTAATATTTCTTAGGGGAATGAAGTAAAGTTCTAATATTTTGTTTTGGGATAAAACAGTATCATGAAGAAAGTAATTGATGTTGTATGAACTTTGTTCATATATAGTGGAATCAAAACCTAGTGAAGAAAATGATAAATAGCAGTGTGTGTGTGTGTGTGTGTGTGTGTGTACACAATATGTGTATATGTGTGTGGATATATATGTGTGCAATATGTGTGTGTGTGTGTGTGTGTGGATTCGTGTGGGCAATATATATATACATATATATATATATGTATGTACTATATATATGTATAAATTTATATATGTATAAATTTATATATGTATAAATTTATGCATGTGTGTACAATATATGGATATGTGTGTGTGCATGTGTTAACCTTCAAGAATAAGCATTTTCATTTAAAACTAAAATTCTTTTAAATGGTTATATCTTCTGGTTGTATATAACATAAATTACCTATCCAAAATGTATACTTATATCCGTGTGTTCTGTGAAACAGTGGCATAGTGTTGAAATAAGCCATTACATTTAAAAAATTATTGTGTTCCTTTCAAAAGCAAGGAAGATAATTCTGACACTAAATCTCAAATATTTTGAATAATCCATAAAGTCCATCCAATATGATGTTAAAGTGTTGGTTGAAGTCATGTGGGTGCTGACTGCCTGCACAGAGGCAGTACTGTGGGCTGGCCTGATGCAAGCGTATCCCAGAAAGATAAAACTGTAGTTGCTTTAAAGACTTTTCCATTCTTATGATAAGTGGACTATCATTGAATATAGTATTCTGACTACATTCAAAACTATGTTTTGATGGTTAAAATGAAAAATGAAATTTTTGAAAAATGTAATGTTAAATTTGCTTGTATGATGTGGAATGACAGCAAGTCACATTTTAATTTCATGTACATCTTAGTTGATCATAGCTAGCTAAACCTACTCTTATTTTAATATAATATTAATGGGACTGAAAGTTAAAATTACTGCCTCAGTTCCTTTGACTGCATTTTTCCATGTAGTTGCAAATTAGTCTTTAAAATTAACTTAAAGGTGTATGCAAAGACCCTGGGACAGAGAATGCATATTGGTTCCCAACAATTAAAGAAGCTCATAGTATTGGAAGCACAAAAAGTGAGGTCAAGGGCTATGTACATTAGATGACACTGGAGAGGAAGAAACAGGCCAGCTATCCAAGGCTGAGATAAGATGTTTTGTAGAAACTGACTATTCAGATTTGTTATACTATCAAGCTGGGGACAGCTTTGAGGACAGATTTGGAAGAGGAGAAATAGAAGTAAGGAGAACAGAGAGGATGTTATTTCATCAGTTGGAAGAAGCATCAGAGGCATTTTCGAGTTCCGTTACATWTGTGGACTTGGAGATTGAAGATACTAGGGGTGGAAATTAACATTTTTCCCAGGACACCTCTCATCCAGTTCTGCACACTCACATTATATGTCTTCATCTACTCATTTTGAAGACTCCCAAGTATTATTTAGTAGACTGCTCTCCAGAAAACCATACTACCTACTTGAATTTGTGATTTGGCTTTTGCCTAAACAGTTTTGACACTAATCTGTCTCACACCGGAGTTATATCCAAGCCCCTTCTCCTCAAACAAGCAAACAAGTAAATGAATCTCATTTTTTCCAGAGTCTCTGTCTGAAAATGACATTGTCATTCATCCATTTAGTTAAACCAACTTGATCTTTTAAAAAGCCTTCCAAACATCTCTAGGATGCATCTCGTGTCTTCATTCTGCTGATCCCACTGTGACATAGGCCACGTTAATCCCTCACCTAGACCTGGACCAGTCTGATAACTGGTCCCTAATGTCATTCTATTCCAATCCAATCTGTTAGCCATGTTTTAATAGTGATTTTTTTTTTCTAAAACTTTCCATAGCATTGCTTGCTTGAAACTGAGCTAGCACACAGCCAGTGTATTGATTAGCTAGTGTTTGCTAATTGGATTGCTCAGGAAATCTGATTGTTCTGATTGGTGCAAACACACTAGGTGCTAAACATTTTGAATGGCACCCTCTGTAAGACAAAATTCCTTTACATTATATTTATGGGTGGTTCATGATCTAGATGCTCCCTAAATTCCAGCCTCATTTGTTACTGCTCTTCTCTTTAAAAGCTACTTTTCATCAGTTCCCAAATTCTTAGCTCTTATGTTATGTCAGCACCTCTCACTTCCACATTCTTACAAAGCTTTGCTTTGTGGAAATGATCCCCGGATCTTCCTTTATCCTGTTAATTTCTCCTCATCCTTAGACCTAGATATAAACGTCACCTCCATGTCGTCATTCATGCTCATATATTACCCTTTATCCTCACATTTTAGCATCATTACCTCATCTGTCAGATAGTTTTATTCCCTAGATTCTAAATCACATCAAAGAAAACACTATGTTTGGTTATTATTGTGAGCAACAGCAATCGTTGGTACATAGTGAAGACTTGGAGAATTTAGAATTAATGCTTGAGTGAAAGGCAACTAATTCAACATCAAAAGTTGGGTTTTGAATATGCTGATTTTGAGAATTGGAATCTATTTAGCTATAGATCCCAGAAGAATGTTGATCACATAATTATAGAATTTGGCTAAGTGAATGGGTCTCTCAGTTTCTATTTAGAAGGAAGCATCATATTGATAAAGGTTATTCGAAGCCCTTGTGTGCTTGTTAATAGAGAAGTCATTCCTCAGAACAGCAAAAGCTAATGCCAAGGGAGAGCCAATATTTATCAGTCATTTCTTCCTTTGAGTTTTGTGATATCATGCTCCTTTCTTCAATCAACTCARATGTGGTTGTTAATAATAAAAGAAAAATTATAACTTGAATTTGATTAAGTAGCATTTCATACTATGTTTTGCAGTAGGTAAATGGAGTTTGCAAATTATCCAAGAAAATAAACATTAATAAAATAATTAAAAGTAGTCTAAGTGTTGTAAAAGAGAAATACAAAGGTTTATGGAACTGCATTCAAGGAGATTTATAAAGCAAGGTAGGAAACTCCCAAAGGCAATGTTCATTGATGTTTCCATTTTTAATAATTCAGCAACTCAAAAAAGCTCATGCTTAAGTTTTTTTTTCAAATTATTATATTGTCAGTGTAGTTTAAATGAGAGTATGTGAGGATTTTCTTCAAATTTATAAAAGAATTTTCCTACTATTAAATTTTCTGAAGTCAATGAAAAAAAGTTGTTTTATTTATTTTTGTTGTTGTTGTTAGAAGTCCCAGACACATTTTTAACCAACAGTCATCGATTGGAATCAGATAAATTTTAAGGACACTGTACTTTAAGTAATGATAAACTCAAGTTGTTGTTTTTTTAATAGAAGCTTCATAAAAATGTTTTTATGGGGCTCAGTGAAGGGCAGGTTATCATACTGTGTGAGGAAGCCAGCCATTATTTGAAAAGTAAAACTATATGCACTAAGCATTCCTAAGTGAAGTAATCGATAACAACTGCTTCAAAGTCTCCCACAACTAATACATGAGTGACTTTGAAATTGCTGTCTTCTTGACCTCTTCCATAAACACATGTAGTAAGTGCATTTTCTTATGAGAAGTTGTATTTGTAGGAGATAAAACCAAAAAAAAAATGGCAAATTTTGTAGAAAGAAAATTATTTGGTGATTAATGTAGAAACGAAAGAAAAGTCACCTGCTTTCCAGCCCCATATTTGGATTAAAACATTCTCTGAATGATACTATTTACTTTTATGTTGTGTTGAAGATAGGGATGGATAAAGGAAAACTAACTCCATGGGGTCCATTGGGTCCTGGAGTTAGTACATGGTCATTGGTGCTGGACTAWAGAAGCCAGCCACCTGCAGAAGCTCACTCTAACATACAGAAACAGCATTATTTAACATTCTGTTTCAAACATTAAAAGGCATTTTGGGGATATTTTATCTTTATTTTTATTTTTTGGTACCAGGGATTGAACTCGGGGCACTTGACCACTGAGCCACATCCCCAGCCCTATTTTGTATTTTATTTAGAGACAAGTTCTTACTTAGTGCTTCATATTTGCTGAGGCTGGCTTGGAACTTGCAATCCTCTTGCCTTAACCTCCCAAGCCACTTTTCATTATTTTTTAAAGAAATAATGTAAACACATATATTATCAAAGGCATTTCAGATTATGTTGGACTTGAAATTAATGTTTCATAAATTTTTACAGCAAAATATATTTAAACCTCAGTAAAATACATTACCATATAATAAAACTAGGAGATAACTATTTTGCACTGTTGTCAGAGCTATTCCGTTAATTAGATAGAATGTTGTGACAGTCTGAAACGTTAACTTATTCTGCTCACATGTGTTCAGCAAGTAGAAGGTGATGTGTATTGTATCCTTAGCAAATTTATATTTGGCAAGCACAGTGGTTGGACATCAGGTTTCATTCTGATGTGGATAAAGAACTCTACAGCAATAACAGTCATCAGGAGTTTCTTTAGGAATAACATTTGCCTTAGGAAATTTATTAAGACCTCTGTAAAGAATGCCACTTTTGTCCAACTGAAGGTATGATGATGTTCACACATTTTATTCAGTATTTTTAAAACTCTTGAATTAAGATTTTAACTCTAGTTATAGCACTGTGTATGCATTTTAAGCATAACACTATTAAAATTAATTCAGTGCCAGATGTAAATTTGTTACACTGTCTACAATCTGTGGTGTTCATTTCCAGGCCCAGTCTGAGTTCCATAGGCCCCTGATGGCTGTCCATGTGCTGTCCAGTTGAAATACTACATGAACCCTCAGGTTTTACCTTCTCCATTTTTTAGGGATTATTTCTTATTTTATAATCTTTTCATCAAATTATTCAATTACTGATCACACCCTCAAAGGGCTATATATTT